TGCAACTGTAGCACCCCTCAGCTGCAGTACCCGGCTACAATGTACTTAGAAAAAGTTGGGACAAAGATATAATCTTGCCTTGAGTAATGGTATATGAATAGATAGATAAATCCTAGTGTGGAGACTGTGTTTAGAATCTTGAGAGATAAATAAAATAGAAATGAAAAGTTGCAAGATATTTCCATGTACAGGTGTCTGCTACTTTTGTGTTGAAGGAAGTTTTTCACGACATAATTCATAAGAATCGGGGCCCCAGACACCCGTGTGAGGGAGGTCCGCGCTCTCCACCTGCTATGTGGGAGGTGGTGGTGGCAACACTCGTCTTTTTCGGCATTACGAATCCGCGGCCTCACCAAATTCTACCCAAACTTTTATCCAGGGTAGAGCGCTGCTCTACCTTGCCACCTGCTGTGTCTCACTAACTAAATCAAGAGTCATACTTATAGATCGCCTCAGGCAAAGAAGTGGCCACCGTCACCACCACGCAGATGGACCTACACCTTAACTCCGAGTTGCTTTATGACTGGTGTTCCAAGCAGCACCATTACTGTTGTTTACCCAGCAACAGTGATGACAATAACAACACCTGGCACAATACACATCTCGGAGGACACATCAACAATTTTACCTAATTTGTAAATCAGTTAAAATAGAAATTGTAAATAACGTGCCCTTTCCATGACGTGTTACCTGTCGTACTTAATTGTATTCGCCGCACAAGAGTTCCCTCCAAGTAGGACACACGAACACACACTTGGGTCAGTGATGTGTGAGCTACCGTACTGTTCCAGCACTTTAAACTGATCCTTTTCTTTCGCTCTCTTTTTTTTCAGCTGAGTACTCAAGCCAACATCACTCACCAAAGAACTCTCATTTTGGAATTAATTTTAATTGAGAGATTAAGCTCAAGTTTTCCACTATAGTCTTTGGAAGGATAGAGATAAGACAGACAGAGGAGTTGTGCTCGCCAGGTAAAGACTGAGGTGACTTACTGTGATAAATTCAGACAGTGACTTTGAACACCTTCAAAGAGATCTAGATACCTTACATGAGTGGTCAGTAGACTGGCAAATGAATTTTAATACTGATAAATGCAAGGTACTACAGATAGGGAAGACGAATACAAACGTTAAGTATAAACTAGGTAACACGGAAATAGAAAACTCAGTTTGTGAAAAAGATCTAGGTGTATTTGTTAGCAACGACTTGAAACCTAGAAAAAATGTATTAGCGCTCGCAACAAGGCAAACAAGGATTCTTGGGTTCATATCTAGGTCTGTGAGTAACAGAACTGCTGACGTTATCTTGAAACTTTACCTAGCATTTAGTGAGGCCACACATGGATTATGCGGTTCAGTTCTAGTGTCCTTATTATAGAATGGACATAGATTCTTTGGAGAGAGTACAAGAAGAATGACAAAAATGATCCATAATATTAGAAACCTTCCATATGAAGAAGAAAGACTGAAAAGCTTAGGCTTACATTCATTAGAGAGGCGTAGAGTTAGGGAGATATGATAGAGTGTACAAGTGGGTAAGTGGGATTAACAAGGGTAAAATGGAAGATGTTCTGAAGCTCAGTAATAACGAAATAACTAGAACAAATGGCTTTAAATTAGATAAATTTCGATTCAGAAAGGATATAGGCAAGCACTGGTTTGGTAATAGAGTTGTGGATATGTGGAATAGGCTACCGATTGCTATAGTAGGATCGGGGACGCTAGGGAGCTTCAAGACGAAGTTGGATAGGCACATGGAAGTGCTGGGATGGGTGTGAAAGGGATCTGCCCTGTATGGGCCAGTCGGCCTCCTGCAGTATCCCACTTTCTTATGTTCTTATGTTCTTATGTTGTGGGTACAGGCCGATGGCCATTGACGGGAGTGTGAGATCCACCAACAACCACTGTACAAGACGCAGCCCACACCTCCCCCTCTGCTGGTGTGCGTAGGGAGGAGTCATCCACGCTCCTTCTTTGTATTGATATTGAAACAGTTTGTTTAGCCAGAAGAACTCAGAAACAGAGTCGATTAACATGGTTGAGCCAGTTGAGAACCTGAGCTCTCTTGTAGGCACCTGATATATGCTGTACATTTATCTCAAGGAAGTATTATGTAACATTTAGTATCATCTGGAATAGTACACACAGCATGCTGGTAATAAGAACATATCAGAATGTTACTACGGTTATCACTTCGATATTTTTTTTTTACATTTACATTTCCAGTGGAAATTGAAAAATCCCAACACCCTTTTACCACAACCTAAGAAACGGCCCTCGAAAGGAAAAGGAAACCACCTCATGTAAGATACTGTTCCTTGCTGCACACAATCTCTTCTTCAATAGCAACTATAGACTCACTGTGGAAGTAAAGTACCGAGTCACATACCGGAGAGAATGACGTAAACAGAGACCATGGCAACACATAACTAGAGTCACGAAACAACGGGATGGTAAGACAATGAAGAGGGAGAGAATGTGGGGAAGCACAGAGACATGTTGTAGTAACTATAAAGAGAAGATAAACAAAAGATAAATGGTTAAGGATTGAAGAGAAGGTGTAAGAAATAATTATGATGGTGGCAGTACACACACACACACACACACACACACACACACACACACACACACACACACATACATAAGTGTGGCTTCTGACATATAACAAAGGGACCGGTGACATTTGTTGAAGTTTCCTGTTCCTGAGGTGTGGATGACCCTGACAACACAAGACAGTACTGCTTTCACGCCAGACTTACCCTCACTCACAACCCCTACAACCCAACCCCGTCGTGCTGCCTCTCACAACTCTTGTCCATCAACCTTCACAACTGGTTTGGAGGATGGGTAATTTTTGGCAACCTCTTGTCAATTTTAGTGGTTCTATGTAGCGAAAATTTGAAGACAAAGAAAAAAAATTATTTTCAAAACGTTTCCTACATGGTCTATTCTTCTCTATGTATGAATAACTATTTATAAATAACTATGGATGAATAACTATGCATAAATAACTATGTATCTCTTGTGTAAAACGGACTTTGGTGCTCAAGGCTAAAAAGTCAAGAATTATTAGAACTTCCATAAACCGCCAAAGACTAACTCATTACCAAGCACCACAACAAAAGTTCTATCCCACCTTAACACAACTCCACCATATACGTATTTCTATCATCATTAAATAACAACATTCAACAATTATCTTTTAATGAGATTTAGACCAAATTATCTTGCTCTAATGTGACAGACCAAGTATTATACAGAGTGTCCCCGTTACTGCACCATAGAGACACCTGTTAACACCAACACCCACCCCCCCCCCCTTCCCACCTCCTCCTTCCTTCATTCTACAGCGACCCTTGACCGCACGTATCACAAGATTATTATCTCCCACAACACACCTGCAGGCTTCATGACCGCAGCCCTGCCCTACCCCGCCCCGCCCAACCCCGCCTCCCTCACAAGTTCACAACAACACTCAGAGCTCTCACCATCTTTCCTCCCCCACACACACTCACCATCTTTCCTCCACCACACTCTCACCATCACTTCCCCCCACACTCTCACCATTACTTCCCCTAACACTCTCACCATCACTTACATCCTCACCATCTTTTCCTTCACCACTCACCATCACTTCCCCCCACACTCTCACCATCACTCCCCTTACATCCTCACCATCTTTCCTCCACCACACTCTCACCATCACCCTTCACCTATGTCTTAGTAATAAGGACTCAGTCTTGTCACTGAGTTGTCGACGACACAGCAGCCGAGCCTTTAATCAGGGACTCGTTCTTGGACTCGGGACTCGAACGGGTGGGACTTGAATACTGTATAACAATGGCTGGTCTCCCCCCTCCCCCCACACACACTACCACCATCACTCTTCCACACACACGTGCGCTAAGTAATACCTGTGTCCCACTAGACCTGTCATAACACGCGGGTTAATGTGTCAACATGTGTATTTATGCCGAATGGTGTGGACGTCGCTACGGTTTAGAGATTTCACACTCGCCACGTACACGCGCGTACGTGTTGTGTGTATATGTTGTGTACATATGTTCTGTTGTTAAACTAGTCAATAAAAATGCAACATGTACGTGTTTAGTACTATACATAAAGCGAGGAACAGGAAAATGAACCTGCAGTGTGAGGAGGAGGTGTAGCGTGAGACACACGCAAGGTATTTCCCCTGACCTAGCAGGTGTGTCCCTCGCCCCGCCTCACCTCACCAGTACCACCAAATAATATTTACGCTTCCAGGATAAACATTCAGTAAAACAGATACAGAATAAATTTAGAATTATAATAATTGTTTTTTGATTTACAGTTTTGTTTGAGAATGAAAACTGGCGGTAAGTTAAGATGATTATACTCTTTAAAGATATCAATGTTTTTACACTGGGAATAAGGATACTTATCAGGCAGCATATTCTAAAATGCCAGGACTTGTCTTAACAGGTTTATTACTATCAGATAATAAGAGAGAAGCCGATCCAACAACACTATCGTATGTCATCTCTCAAGGGTGTGTGTTCTTTTCTGCTTTTGTGATGACTTTGTGTGCTGTTTTAGCCACCTGGGGACGCCTTGACCACACGAGTATATCCAACAACAGTCCTAAACGTAGAGGCTTAGCCAGTCTGAGGCTTCTGCCTCAGACTGGCTAAGCCTCATCAAGAGTGCCCACAACCTCTCTAAACTGAGAGAATAAAATATTTATTGTTAATCTCACCCGAGAATAAATGATTATGAAAACGATCTTGGTGCCGCAACAACTTACCCGAAAGGTTCATAAAAGACAGAATTGTGCCATACATCGGGGGTTATGTCATTTTGTTCTTCATATATTACGTTAATTAATAACTCACACGCACAGACGGGCGGGTGAACGACCTGAAAGACAGTATTTCCAGGTTCCCTCCGGCTACGCGCCGGAGGACTGAAAAAATGACAATAATAAGTACAAGGCAGAAGCGAGTGACAAGCAGTACTCACCCCCTTGACGGTGTCGGGCAGCGGACTGGTCCTGGAGGGCGGGTTGATGTAGATGGGATCCTTCATGGCGACTGTAAGCTGTTTCATCACCATCGGGGAGTCGGACCCCCCCGGCCCTCTGGACCCTGGAGTGTTGGAACCCACACACTTCACTCACTAGAGCTACTGTACACTCCTCTACTAACCTCCATTACATTTTGTCTTTGTGTGAAATATGGAATTGAATGTTGTGTTTTTGACTCACACAAAAGTACGAGGTTTTCAGTCGCCTTTGTCTCCTTTGATGACACAACTCTTGCCAACTAAGTGCATGTATCCAAGTCACTACACTGAAATTAGCACATCACCTAACCAAACGCATTCTAAACACATACAGTATATATGCTAATATCTTAATCAATTCAAATTTCTATATTTGATAAATTCAATGAAAATCACAAATAAATGAGTAAAATACAAATACATCTATCATTAGTAAAACGAATTAATTCACTAAAGATGTATTACATAATAAATCATAAAAGCAAGACACAAAAAACACGTTTAAAGGAGCAAAAACATAAAAAAACTAATATATATTGTTACGAGTGGGGGACAAAGGCTGGCCACGGCGACACAACCTCACCAGGATGTGGCCAATTTTTCCTCCTTTGAAAGTGACCTCAAAACTAACTAAAGCTTCCGTTCAACCAGCTGTCAAATTCAACTCTGTAGTGATAACAAACCCAAGTCAGACTAAACCCATGTTAAGTTAGATTAAGTTGACTCGGGTTTTGTAGTTTTGTTCCTGAGATGGTAATTGACTCGGCTCATTTACAGCGGTTAGATGGTAATTGACTCGGCTCATTTACAGCGGTTAGATCCTGACACTTGTATGAGTCCAGGTTGTCGTCATGTTCGTGTACTTACTACTGCCAATACAAGTGTACTTATCTACTACAATATATGTAACCATTGTTGTACTAAATTCTTATTATTTAGTGCAATCAATGTACAGTTTTCTAGAATAAACTGTATTTTTATATCTTATGGGATACTCCTTTATTGTATCTCGTGAAGTAAACTGTATTACTGTATCTCGTGGATTAAACTGTATCACGTATGTATTTCCTGAAAAAGATACAAGACTCTTCCTCCAACCTCATTAAAATGTTCCCAATGGTTTTGTGTCAAGGATCTGTGTCCATGAGAGTCTTCACCATCAGCGCTGCACTGTGTCTATCATCACTCTAACTAATACGGCCTGCAAAGAGAGAAAAAAATAATATTAATACACAAAAACTTCACTAGTTGTGGGTTTTCATCTTACGGAAGAATGAACACGGGGAATGTACTTACAAAATGAGTTACCGAGAATGAAAAGTCTTTGTGCATCAGGGTGGTGGGGAGAAAAAGTTAGGGTGTGTTGAAGAAGACATGTGGTACAGGGTGTGTCCAGGAGAATGGTGGTGGAAGGTGTGTGATTTCTTGCCCTATTAACACGTCAGGTGGTGCCATAGTCATCATCATAAAAGGTGCCATTGTCATCATTATAAGAGGTACTAGTCATCATCACTGTGAACATTTACAGCAAAAAACATGGTTCAGTTCCGTAAGAAATACATATGCAGTCACGTGAGGTCACATTACACGTGGAGAAAGTGACCGGCCGTATACCAACGCCTCAGGTGACATCTACTAACAACAAATTATGCACGCCGCCTTGACCTCTCCTCCAGAAGGGCTCAAGAACACACAGATAAGAAAGGTAAGCCGTTTAGGAGTAAATCCACCAATCACAGGCATGAGTCCCGACTTTACGACAATAATAACAAAACAGTAACAAGATTTCAGTTGTTTGTGGCGTTGTTCTGCTCTAATTATATAATATGCATAGTGAACAATAACAGTTCTACGTCGTGGTACACAGAACACAACGCAAACAACTACAACAGAATGCCGTCTCGATGGTATGAGGGCAAGAACGTGACCACCGCTGGCCTTACACTTTTTGCTTCGCGGAGATCCAAAGGGTGAAGCTCAGGTAGGGTCGAACTGATGACGGCACCTGCAGGGCTTGTGAGGAGAGCGGTGGACGGAGGTAACAATCTGAGTAATGGTCCAAAGAATAGGTTTGCCAAGGGATAAACACAGTTGCAGAGAGGAACATCATGGGTGAGTGTTGATGGTGAAGGTGGTACAAACACGGTCGCTGGGGGGGTAAAAAAGTCGACCAGGTGGGGCGGCGAGGGTAAGAGTTGGAGGTAAATATAGGTAAAAATACGGCAGGTGTAAATGAACAGTACAAAGAGAGGTAACAGAAAGAAGGTTTGGAAGCGTGGGAGTACACAAGACTTAGTGAACAGGTGGTGAAGTGTGGAACTACTGTAGGGGGTTGAAGGTGCGGACCACACACGAGGGGTAAAAAGGAAGAGACTCTTAGCGGAGACGTGAGCAAACTGTGACGGAGGAGGGGAGCTTAATAAGAGACCTCTTTGCAAAGTTCTGTGTGCGGGTGACATAAAAAGGTAATGTGTTTGCTCATATGTAACTTACATTTGCAGGGATAGATAATCTGGGATGCTGTTTGTAGAAACATAAGCAAGTATGGGTGAGACGAGATATTCAAGGGTTGAAACAAGGATCTTCACTAGAGTACCAACACATGATGAGTAAATATTAACAACAATACGCCTGCAGTAGGGTGAATCCCTGGACTTTCACAATCACCACCGGCTGGCGGCAGGATCCCCAATGTCAACCTCAGAACTCTTCGACTCTAGTTACTATGTTGGAGGTGCACCGCGTCACGCTACAGGTGAGGAAGCCAACACGCGGGGCTGTCACCTTGAGTAGATTATTTCCGCCTCTTCTTCACTTGGTCACACAGATGATTACTATAATATATGGAAGAAGAATTCTACGTCATGTGTCGGTCAGGTGAATCAGGAACAAATAAAAAAACAACTTGAACTTTTTTTCTGCATCAATCAAATGAATTAGAATAAGTTGGACATTGTAATAAGAATTCTAAATCACACATCGGTTATGCAAATTAGGAATGACTATAAGTACCATAAGATCTCGACGTAATGTAGTCAGGTGAATCGGTATAAACTAGACCATTCAATAACAACATCATGCACGGGTCATGTCATGTGAATTGGCGCTCATCCAGCCCCGAGCGTTCAGTATATACACTTCCGGCATCATTCAGGAGATGTTCCCGTGTGTGACGACCTTCACTTGTCAGCACCATCCACTACACCAAACATTTACTGTTCTCAGCGACTGTTGATACTATTTTCAAAATGTAATTAAAATCCTCCAACCTTCTTCATAATAATTAAAATCCTTCTACGTTCTTTTTCGTGTTGAGAGAAACTTGATGAACTGTTCAGCGCTTAAATATCTATACCCAAGACAAAAAAGTTATATATATATACAACTGTCATCCTTGTTCACTAATTTCCCAACACTTTCACTCCCACCAGGCGCTGAAAATCATTCTCATCTTGATCCCTCCGACCACTCACACCCACACCTCTGTCTGTGTTTATCCAACCACTCACCCACACTCACCCTGACCCCTCCGTCTCATATACACCCACCCACCCTAAGCTCACTTGCCCACCCCTCGAGACCGACCCACTCACCTACCCCTTGAGATCGACCCACTCACCTACCCTTTCCCGACCCACCCCCTCTCATATCAACCCTAACAGCCTGCCTTGCCTTTGTCAGGTGGTGTAGTGAGTGAGTCAGCACACACACACAATTTAGGCTGTTTCTACCAGCCTGTGAAACCACTGGCCAGACGTAGCTTTTGTTGGCCTGACGGAGAAAGCCAACTGAAATATTGTATGCCAGGTACAAAGTTGTGTTTATTTTCTTTGTGTGTGGCCGTCTATATCTCTCTCTCTCGTACTTCGACATCACTTTCCTGACTGACTTGCTGATAAACACTTTCCCTTAATACTAAAATATACGATATCTTACTTTTTCCTTCTTGTCTTCAATTTGTTTCCTGTCATGATTGTCTTACCGACACGCACTTCCCCCCAGCCACTAGACCACAATGTTTACAAAACCCCGAAGGATTTATTGACAAATACTCTTCCTTATCTGGCAGTAAATGAGTCCCTCGTGTGACGCTCCCGGGCGCAGTACGTTACTTTTCCTTCAGGGTTGGGGTAAAATTGCTTTTCCCCGCCGTCGTACTACTTATATATAGCGCTGCCGCCTTCCCCCCTCCCGTCACCACCTTCTCATCAGCGGAAGTGATAGTTTTTTCCCTCAGGAACACACACACACACACACGTTCATGTTGATCAGACGTATGTGTGGGTGGCAATTCGATTGAGTAACGTGAGTATAATATAAGATGTAGTGACGTGCGAGTTTAAGGACGTATCAGACTAGGTGTGTGGGTGTGTCAGACTAGGCGTGGAAGACATTATATACCAACGACGGTGGGTCGAGAGGCACGGTGGAGTGATCAGAGGAAGTTACCAACGAAATCCGCAGGTAGAAGTCCTCCCCTTCTTCTCCTTCCTTATTAATTTAATCCTCCTCCCCTCTTATCCCTCCTCTCAATCTCTCATCCCTCTCCTTCCCTCTTTATCCTCTTCCTCCCCTCCCCAAGCGAGACGTGCAAGTCACCACTATGACGGACCTCCCCCCCCCACCCCACCCCTTAAGTACGGCCAGGGTAGAGATCGTCTTTAATTACCTTTGTGGGTCAGTAGTGAGTGAGGAGCCACTGACCCATCTTGTTGGGGGAAGCTTGTTTGGAACGTATTGTCGGGCGGCCTCCGGGGATGATGGCGGAGATCAGGGTAGCGATACGGACGAGGGTAGTGGTCCGGACGAGGGGTAGTGGTACGGACGAGGGGTAGTGGTCCGGACGAGGGGTAGTGGTACGGACGAGGGGTAGCGGTACGGACGAGGGGTAGTGGTACGGACGAAGGGTAGTGGTACGGACGAGGGGTCAAGGTACCAGCTTGAGTTTGGCTGTATCCCTCCTTCCCCTCCATATATTATCCACACCAACGGGATAATGACATTCATTATCTAATAAATCTTCAAGTAGTGGATGATGATGGATTATAAATCCTTTACAGTTGTTATCTGATGAATAAATTGACTTTGTTACGTGCTTAAAAGACCTTAATTATTGAAGAAATGAAATATATATATATATATATATATATAAGTATTAATAACATCTTAATATGGGGACAACGTAAATTAAATTTTTTAAGGGGTAATAAAATTAATAGTCATACCATCAAAATAAATCGAATTACATGTAAGTCAAAGGAG